GCTCAAGACAGCAGGCATGAAATCACACTGGGCCTGGAGCCCTCAAGCCCAGGACAGCTGTTGAAATGCTAGACTGAGTAGACAGTGGGCTTTTAGGTCCACCCAAGACTAAAGGCCATTCTTGTTCCTCTGGTGAGTGGAAACAGAGTAAAAAAGCTGTAAGCTCTCTTCATTACCAGGAGTGGGGCAGCCACTAGTTGTTTGGGACAACCAAAGATAAACAGGGGAGGAGGAAGTGCAGATCAAGAGTTAATAATTAGGGATTCAGAGGAGGACACAACATGGTAATCCTGATGTTACCCACTGCTTCCTGAAGGCATCTAGAAAGTCAGTAGATATGATCCTAAAGAGCTCTGTCCAGAAGCATGAGGTGTCTAGAGACCAGAACTAGCTGAGTCCCAGTTGCCTGGTGCCTCTCAACCCCCTGCTCAATAGCCAGTAATGTGTACTCAGTTTGCAGGCCCAGGAACTCAGAAATGGCCTGCCCCCATCCCCCTCTGAGTTAGGCTGCCTTGAGGAGCAGTGTGTGCCCGGTATGTGTGTGGGAAGCCTCCCCCCCTCCCTCTGTGGATAGCTTATAATCAGATGTTTGCTGGGCTGCCTGTGCCTCCAGGCTTGCTGTTGCCTAAACTGTCCCTGCTGACTAGTAGATAGGTGCCATTTGCAGAGGGTCTGAAGGAGACTCTTCTCCCCCACCAACCACAATGCAGGCTCCGGGTCACCCAAAGTAAACCTCTTCCCTGGGATAAAGCAATGGCAGAGGTCTCTGATTTCCCTCCCTCAGGTGAGGACAGTTACCTGCAGCCCGGCATTAATGGTAACCACAGGCCCCTTGTCAATGCGTGGCACGATGGTGATGGAGATGGTCTTGGGCTGACTCTGCCGGTCAACCTCAGAGGCATTGGCCAGGATGGTGAAGCTGTCAGCCAGGGCCTTACTGCCATCGTGTGTGTACTGGATGAGCTGCTGCTCCACCTGGGGGTGAGACAGACACCGAGTTCAGGAGCCTGAGAGTGTCTCATTTGCTGAAAGGCTTCTCTGTGGAGCCACCCGTCAGGGGGTCCTGCCTGCTCCCTTGTGCTGCGACACCCAGGCCAGTGGGTGGAAAACTGAGGATTACAGAATCAGACCTCACAGGACTGTCCCCTAGGGCTGTATCCCAGCCCACTGACCCATCTGTGCACAGAGGAGCCCACCTCATTGATGCTGGGAGATGTTCTTTGCCTGGGTCAAAGGCAGGAGGTGATGCTCCATGATCTCTCAACACAGAGAAAACATGTATGACCCTCAGTATTTCCACTGTCTGCTCTGTTTCATGAGCTTCTAACCCACCCTGTATCACTTGGGCCTGATTTTGTGGAGTTACATCACTGGGGGATCAGGATCAAGTGCATGAGTTCTAATCTTGGCGCAGTCCCTTCAAAAGCCCTTTTAGCCATGTATCCCAGCCCCAAGACAGTCGCTTCTGTACCTCATTCCAGGAGAAGAAGTGAAGGTTGCCTTCTTCAGGTCTATCAATATTCTGGATGGTCCCATATTTTGGGGGCTCAAGAATCACAAACTCCACACTCAGCACTGTGATGTAGGCTCTGGGGATGGTCAGGATGTCTGTGGAGAGGACTGTGGAGCCCCCACCCATGATTGTGACATTGTGGACCTCCAGAGGGACTGCAATGGGAAGGACATCCAAGTTCACCACAATCCCCTCCAGGGCATCTGCCCTGCTGGCCATGATGTCCACAGTGAACTGGTCGGTCTGCTCTTCAGGCTTGGAGTGCAGGTAGAGGACCTTGCCTTCGTTGATGTCCTCCTGGGTGAAGGAATGGACAGGGTCCAGACTGGGAGGCTCATCAGAATCGCTGTCATGATACACCATCACCAGGAACCCAGAGTGAGGGTCACTGCTCACTGAGTAGATGATCTCATGAGGTGGGATCTCTTCATGGGTCACCTGTATGTTTGTGTGGGAGGAAGAGGGTGAGAGAAAAAGGGAGAGTTAACACAGAGGCCATTTCATCCTGGGATGGGACAGGCAGCTTGTTCTCACTGGTAATAGGAAGGTTTGTTTAGCAGTCCTCTGGGACTGCTTAATGGAGAAAGGGGATGCCCCTTCCTTAGAGTAACCAATTTTCTATTGGATTATGACCCCTGGCAATTCACAGAGGGCTTAATGTAGGCACACTTGTATTTACACTTCCTTTCTGCTGCTGGGCCCTAGCTCAAAGGGGCTGTAGTGTGAACAGAAATTGGGCCTAACAGGTTCTACAGAGCAAAGCCTAGCAGCTCATGAGGTTACTGCAGAACTTTGCTGTCCCAGATCCTTTAACCAGGAAGGTACATTAAGTCTTGGATAAATAAGATCAAGGCAAGATAACTTCAGAAAGCCCTACTTACCAGCAACTGGTCTTTCTTAATCTCAACTGCTTCCCCTTCGAAGACATATATTCTTTTGTGGTGGATGATGGTCAAGGGAGATGGGTGGTTATCTAGGAACACGGTGACCTCCAGGGTGTCTTCCACAGCCACCTGATTCGCTTCTACAGAAAACTGGAATTCATCTCTAGAGTTCCTGCTGCCATTGTGGTGGTACACTATTTCTGCATTCATCAGGTTCCTTTGGGAGAAGATCCCTGTAGGCTGGCCCCCTCTAAGCACCATCCCCCATCGTGGCGGGGTAGTTATCAGGAACCGGATGTCCTCATCATTTCTTATGTCCATGTTAGTCTCCAGGCTGAGTACAGAGGAGTCAATAGTTCCCTGGCTCCCTTGGTGGATGACTAAGCCAGTGTTGTTGACAATCTGGATGTAGGGGTCCGAGGCTTGTACTTCCAGGACAGCTGTGGTTTGATGGAGGCCATCAGAGACCTGCAGCTGGATCCAGCCTCGGTCAGCCCCTGAGTGGACAAAGAGAATCTTCTTCTTCCTCAAGTCCTCCTGGGTGAAGCGGTAGACCTGGCGACTCCTGTCCTCAATGGAGTGGATGCTACCAAATAGAATGTCTTTCCTCACCAGCACCAGCTGGGCATCTGAGAAACCAGAGTCCACATCCACAAAGGCAATATCATCAGTGGTCAGCAAGCGCTGGCCATTCCGCACTACATTGAAGACCTTGTTCACTACCTGGGTGGGTGCGTGGTCATTGACAGGCTGGATGGAGATTCTAAAGACCCCCCTTACCTCTTCTGCTTCAGGGTCCGTGCTGCCTTCATCCTGCTGGATGGCCACAAAGGGGATATCATCTTCTGTGGTCTCAGAGTCATCGTGCTGATACAGAAGCCTTCTGTGGAGGATGTCTTCATTGGTGAACTCGGTAATGACCTCTTCATTGGCAGGCCAGTTTGGTGATGTCCTCCAGATCAACTTTCCATGAGCTGGCCCTTCAATCACCTCATACATATAGTCCATACTACTTAAGCTCTGTACAAACAGGTGGTCCTTGGAGATGACAGCCTGACCTCCTTCCAGGACAGATAAAAGAACGTTGGTCAGGGCAGGTGCATCTGGGTCCCCCCCAATGCTGATCATGTAGGTATACACTGGGGAATACTGGTCACCAGCAGTGACACGGAACTGGAAGGAGTCCTCAGTCTCTTTAGCATTCCTGACTGTAGCACTGTAGCTGAGTTGTCTTCTCTGCAAGGCCTCTTGGGTAAATCCAAAGCCTTCTGTTAGCCTACTGCCCAGAAGCTCAAGGTTTCCTTTTTTGGGTGCTTGGATTATTTCATAGTAGAAGGAAAGTGGGGTAGCATTTGGATCCTCCAAGGTTGCTTCCAGCTCCCTGGTAGTGATGTTTTTGTGTCGTTTGTTTTTCATCAGCAGGGGCACCATGGTCCTCATCTTGATAGTCGCCCTTTTGATCCTGATGAGGAAAGTGTTGTTTGTTAAGACCTTCTGGCCAACTTGAACCTCGAACCTCAGCTTCTCCATGACATCTTCCAGATGGTGCTCAGGGTCTGTGCTGAAATACTGTACGCGCCCATGCTCAATGTCTTGCTGGTGGAAAGCTTCAACTTTCTTCCACTCCCCTCCCATGCTCCCTTGCTTCTGGATTTCACCATACCAGAGAGGATCTGTGAGGCGATAAATGATGGTTACTCTTTGTTTTACTGCATTGGTCTCTACCGAGAGGTTGGCTGTGGTGATCAGAACAGTGCCTCCTTGAGAGATGAACAGGCCTGTGTTATTGTGTACTTGAATGTCAGGCTCAATGGCAATGACTCTCAAAGCAGCCACTGGGCTCCTGACCATGCCATCACTCACTTGAAAGATGAGCTGTAATGATGGTCCACTCTGGTGGACGTAGACCACATTGCCTGCCTCCAGGTCCCTGCAGGAGAACTCATCAATGGGGACTCCAGGCTGGAAATCATATTCCACATAACCTTCTTCCATTCTCTTGCTGCCAAGCAGCTGGAATTTCAGGTTGTCACAGGATGTGTCATCATCATGTGCCTGGATGATGTCCATGCCCAGGTGCTTCCGTGTGCGCTCCAGAATCACCATGAGGTCCCCATGGGGGAAGAACACTTGTGGGGCATCATTGATGGGGTTGATCATTACTGGGAGCAGGTAAATCTGGCCTTGCCGCAAACAGTCAGGAACCCCCCTCCGGGCAGTGATCGTTACCTCCAGCATCAGCTGGTCCATGGGACTCTCAGAGCCATCATGGACATACTTGACTTTCCGATTCACTACATCCAACAAAGTGAACTTCCTTCTGTTTCTAGAACTGGGTATGTCTAGTTCCAGCTGGCCATGCCTGGGGTCATTTGTGACACTAAAAAGGACCTGAGACTGCCTGATACTGGCACTGTTGAGGTCTATGGTAGGCTGGGTGTGTCGCCATTCTAGAAAGGCTGTGCCTCCTTCAGCAACAATGAGGGGGCTGACATGCAACAGCCTAGTGAGGTTGGCAAAGATGGGAGGGAGGCTAGGGTCAGGGCGGCAAGGTTCCACCACTGGGCCCAGCACTTCGTGCCAGACATCGGGAACTGGGGTTGTGGTTGCTTCATCCTGCTCATATACATTCTCATAGTCCCAGTACTGCTCCTGCTTTCCACAGACTGTTGTTATGCCCTTTGTGACCAGAGCATCTTGCAGGCTCTTCTTTTCCAGGTTTATCCTCAGGTCCTCCAAGCAGCCAATGAATGACCTGTTGACAGAGCTGTCCCCAGAGATGAAAGCAAGTCGGTGTTCCCTCAACCTGTGCAAGGCCTTTTCATTCACACCTCCAATGAAGAGGCTTCCCTGGAGATCAAGATGGCTGTGGATACCCCGGTTGGATGTCCGTGAGCCATAGTAGTCAACAAGGATCTCAAACTTGTACATGTCCACATAGACTTTCACGTAGTGCTGCTGGTCGTCACTGATGTAGAAATTGTTGTGCAGGATGACAGTCCCATTACCTTTTTCAACTACTCCCCTTAAGCGTCCATCAAAGATCTCTAGGTAGATGAAGTCATTGTTCAGCCCTGACTGGTAGATCAGAGGGGCCTGAGTGATACTTGTTGTTATCACAAATTCAATGGTACCTTCTTCTCTTGCGCTCCACCCAGGGAAAGTAATGTAAGAGTGTGGTCCCAGAAAGCTGAAAGGGTCATCAGGCCCAGCAGAGAACTCTGTGCTACACCCTTCCTGAACTCTGTGGAATATTTTGGAGCCATCACCAGATGTCAGGAGAGAAAGAACATCTAGGCCATTGAAGATCACCGTATGGAGGCAGCCTCTGAATGGTGAGGTGGACCTTGAGAGGTATGGCAGCTCCAGGGTCCCAGCCCCACCTATGTAGAGACCATATTGAATGTCTAACAGGTGTAGGGGTCCTCGGATCTCCACAGAGGTGTTAAAGAGGCCATCCACAATCAGAGTCATCTGACCATCACTGACCAACAGCTCAGCACTGTGGATAACTAAGTTATTGAGCTGCAGGCTTGCTGGAGAGTTGACCATTATCTTCTCTGAGCCCAGCTGTAGTCGAACCTGCAATGAAAGAAGACAAGTGGAGTTGGAAGCTTGGCATGTGCATGGCATTCTCTGGGAAAGGCAAGGAAAGGGAGTAAGGCCAGGGCTAGGGAGTTCTTATGCCATAGTGATCCCCAGCTCCCAGAACCTCCTTCAGGCAATGGTTCACTAGATGCAAGTCACAGCAGCCCAAAGGCCACTCTAAATGAAGTCTCCCATTCCTTTTCTCTGACCTCCCCTCTGGTTCTGCAAAGAGTACAACTCAGTAGGACAGGAACATTAGTGCCTTTTTCTTCATCCATTATAAAGATTCAGCCTTTACAATATTAGCTGTGCTCCTCTTCTATAAACTTAGCCCTGCAGAAAATGTAAAGGGTGTCTAGGAAGAAAACACTAGACATAATGGTGGGAATGTGCCCTCATCTACTCTATGTTCCCCTCAGTCAAATGTGAACTTCCTTGGTGTGGTGTAAATGTGCTGAACTCCATCCCAGTCCACAGAGGTGCCAAGAGAGGCTTTGGTCCAAGGCTGCAAAAGCAACATTAAGCTGGTTGCTTTGCACACTTGGCCTATTTCTGGTGATTCACTGATGTGATGGCAGACTGGTTTTAAAGCATCTTTTGTCATAGTTCTAGACCAGTGGTTCTCAAGGCCCCCATCAGAAAATGCCAGTTCTTCATTTTCACTTGGTTTTTTACTCCAGAAAAAAATAACAGAACAATTCTGTTGCAAAGAACTCAGAAAGACCATGGCAGGTCAGAATTTTTGACACTATGAATTCCTATTTGAAATTTATGTATTTATTTTGTGAAACGTGCACATGTTGACCGCAACACCCTGTTGAGAATCACTTATCTAGGGGCATGAGGTCAAGCCTTGCTCAGCCCTTGTGCCCAGCCCCATTTGACCCAACTGTAAGTAAGTATCTGGCTTTTTGGGCTGGGAAGTCAGAAAAAGACTGATGTGAATGTAACCCTGTCACCCCCTGGCATGCCATTGTCTATCACTGTTGTGCCACACTAGTTCAATAGGCCTACTGGGCTAGTAGGATCATGGCTGACTGAGGCTGAGGTAGGCAAAGACATATTAAGCACCAGATTTAAGGAGGGGGAATAGGACTAGGAAATACTGTACCTCTTAACTGGGCAGTCTTCATGCTGCATTGATTTTGTTTCTGAAGCAGACACACAGCATAAGCCCCATGTAAAAACTCAGGATTTGCTAACAGTTATCTCACAGTGAACTCAGCTGTTTCTTCCCCATGCTTAAAATGGATGGTATCTTGGAGCTGTGTGGATGGTCTCCCTTGACATGTTCAGGGTTTTCAGTGGCCAGTGCTGTGAATGTGTGTACATGTGCTCACAGTATGAGTAATTCACACCTAGGGAGTTCTCTGCCACTTGTAACTGTGATATCTAGAGATCTGTCCATTAATTAAGCAGGTCTATGGAGCTCATTATGTAGCGTGCATTGTCTTTCTGCCCATGCATCTAGGTACAGTCATGTGAAGTGAGAATCCATCCTATGTCCCTGTGCAGGCTATCTGGACCATAGGTCTGGGCATGCAGAGGTAACTGGACACCTGCTACTCCCCACCTCAAGGAAGGTAGGTAGGGCATGTGTGTTGGTTGCGGAAAGGGGTATAAGAAGCCATCATTCCTTCCCTGTGATATTTCCATGGTCTGTGACCCAAGGTTCTCTGTCTCTTTCTATCCAAAAACACTTATCTCTTCATCTAGAAACACTTCCTAAGCCCTCTGTAGGTTTTGTGCCCGTTTCTTGGAGGTCTTTCCTGTGGTCTCCCATCCCATCGCTGGGCCTGGGAGATCATTGGAGAGGGTAGGCAAGAACGTCTGTGTACGGTGGGAGTGAGGAGCCTCCTTCTTCTCTTCCTCTCTCTCCCACCAAAGAGGAGCTTAGCCATCTGATGAATCTTCACTTTGGGCTCCTGCCTGTCTCCCTTCCTGTCTGCTGCTCTCGTTTCTGAGGACCTGGCCTGTTCCGGCTCCTTAACCATTGCTCTCCCCCCTGCTGCAAGGGAAATAGCAGGCTTTGTCTTCTCGGACGGAACAGTCTCCCCACAAAGAGCAGCCTTGGAGTCTGGGTAATAGAGGGTTGGAGGACAGGACCTGAAGGGCCAGTCGAGTGGACTCTCTTCTGACAGATGGCTTGCATTAGAGAAACCTAGAATCATCCACCCCACAGAGCTGCCTGCCAGACACTTTAGTTATGTGGTCTGTGAGACTGCCCGGGGAGGCTTTCTTGGGACTTGAGAAATGTCGGGGAACAGTATATGTGTAGAGGACTCTCCTGGTACTGTTCCTCTGTGACAGACACTGATAGCAGAACCATATGTTCCAGCTCACTCAGATGGCCCATCTGACCCTGGTTCCTCCTGGGGTCAGGGAGAGGTTTCTGTGCAAGGGGAGGCTGATGAGTGACAGCCCTTCACTTTTCTGGATTCTCCTCCTCTGCCCTGTCACTCATTGACTATAAACAAGGCATCAGCTATCATAGATTCATAGACTGTAAGGCCAGAAGGGACCTCGGAAGATCATTGGGTCCAGCCCCCTGCACCCAGCAAGAAAGAAAACTGGGGGTCGGGTGACCCCAGCAAAGTGCCTGTCCAGTCTCCTCTTGAAGATTTCCAGAGCAGGTGATTGCACCACCTCTGGAGGGAGCTTATTCCACAGTCTGGACACCCTGACCCTTGGGCCCACCTGGCATCTAGAAGGCAGGGTGTGGGTGCAACACTGGTTGTACATGGGTCAGTAGGATTAAAAGGTGTCATAGGTGGGTAAAATAGTCGATCCTGCAGCCTTAAGGGTTTAGGGTAAAAGGGAGCCTGTTGGCATTGTCTCTGCCATGCTTTGGCCTGTGGTAGATCTCCTGATGTGGAGCCAGGATTAGTGCAGAAGGCCAATAAGAAAACATCTGTGGGGGTTATCACAGATGGTGCCCTAAGCTGTCAACACAGCAGTCACATGTGTGCTACAGGCCATGGCTCACCAACCTTTCTGAAGTTTGCCTAGTCAAAGCTGAACTTGGCCCTGAGCTGGTGGTTTCCATGGCTTCCTTCTGAACCCCTGTCTCTCCTATTAGCTGCCCTTTACCTTAGAATACTCCAAACTTCCATAGGTGGTCTGACTGTCAGGGGAGTCAGATACCTGTATCTACATCTTCCATTTAGGGCCCTAGAACTTGGGGTGGAGGTGGGGGAGGGGAAGGGTATTCTATGATAGCACCATTGCCCTAAAAATGTACAGCTTGGTGGCAGTCACTACCCACATCACACTGTCAGGCCCAGAGCAGTCTGCTCGCAGGTTCCTCACTGGGCTTCACGCTGAGCACCAAACCCAGCCTGGGAGTAAGCAGGTTTCCCTTGTGACCTCAGTGGGACAAAGCCTGCCTTGTCTAAGTCCAAATGTGGCCAGGAGGCTTGGTATCCCTGCTGGAGAAAGAAAAGAGCCTTCCTGACCTGTAGGATGCCGGATTGCAGCTCCATCAGGAGGTAGTCAGCCTGTCCAGCAGCCAGGAAGAGGAGACCATTGTGCTGACTTGTGTAGAACTGGAGGCGGAGATGAACTGTGCTGTATGCATCCACTGAGGGCACCTCCACAAAGCTGTCTCCAAAGAAAGAAGCTGGGGGAAAGAGATAAGGTTATGGGCTTGGGTGCCTACAAAGGGAGGAAGCGTGTTCCCCTGGACTGACATTCAGGAAACGGGGACTCTATTCCCAGTCCTGCCACTGACCTGCTGGGTGCACTGCTCGGGTGCACTTCCCCTCCCACCTCCCGTCTGCCTTGTCTGTTTGGAGTGTAACGTCTCTGATGGCAGGAACTAGCCCCAAACATGCAGACTGAGTGGGGCCATGAGAACTGCAGCCCTGATCTCACCTGTAGGGCCCACAGATAGAAATAAACAGTATTCATAGATTCATAGATGTTAGGGTCGGAAGGGACCTCAATAGATCATCGAGTCCGACCCCCTGCATAGGCAGGGAAGAGTGCTGGGTCTAGATGCAGTATTGATGGTGAGAGGCTACAAAACCAGCTCTGGCCAAGCAGGGTGAAGGGGCCTGTGGGACTGAAGCCAGTTCCTGTGCAGGGCAGTGCAGAGGAACCACTGTCTGCAGGAACTCCACTGTCTTGGTAATTTGTGTTATGTTTTTTATAGGGCTGTGTTGTTTTTAACTTCCAGGGTCCACTTATATGGGGTCAAATTAATAAGAGATTTTAGCTCCCTGTAATTTTTCTGTCATCCCAGAACTGAAATCCAGTAACCTCTACAGCTCCTTTGTTATTTCATCTCCTGGTGGTGTTAAAAAAGCTAATGAAAAGCAAATGCGAGGCCAGGAAGCTGCACAGACCCCTCATGGGCGCTAGGTGGGGTAGCAGGTCAGCAGGTTGGCAGTACATTCCCCAGCCTTCCTGACCAGCATAATAAAATCTCTGTCTCTGCCTTTGGTGAGCCATATATCTAGCAAATACCCAGGTGGGTGTCATTCAAAGAGCTTCTTTCTCAGGGGTCTGTTGTTAGTGTCACCTCAAGGAGCTGTTGGGCTTGGACTTCAGCACATTTCCCACTGCAGAAATGCATTGCAAGTAGCAAATCTGGACTCTTAGCTAAGCAAAGAGAGCATCATTTGGCATCTGCAGCTCATGAAAAGACAAGGAAAACCCTCCAAACTAATCCTTTCCAGTTCCCATGTGTCCCTTTATGGCAGGGCTTCATAGAGCTGTCATAAAAATGAAGAAGGTTGTGCTTTTCAGAGCCCAGATAGTGTGTTAATTGTTTTTGAGAGAATTTTTCCCTGTCATCATTGCACAAGAGCAGGTTTGTTAGTTCCAGTGGTCTGGCCACGTTCCAGTTTAGAGGAATAATCATTAGAGATGGAAAAAACTCATTAGGCCATCAAATCTATCCCACAGCAAGGAAGGGTAGAGTCTTCTGACAGCGACCATACTACATATCAGGCCAGACCATTACCTAGTATCTTACTGTAACTCAGTTTAAGTTACTACAATTGTACTGTTTTATTCCAGCGGTGGATCTTGGCCCGCTGAACTTGTGAGAGATGGGAATATGTTGAATCTGCATTTGTGAATCCAAAGTTATTTTTTGTTGAATCTGCTATTGCATGTACAGTTTTACTTCACGTTCACAATATAGTCTGCTCCTGCCAGTCTGGCAGTACTCTTCCAACGTTTGTGGCTGGTGTCATTATTTATGAGTGGCTTGAACAAACAACAGAACTGCAGTTCATTTTAAGCACAGGGTAAATCTACAATATGCAAAACTGCAGATTCAGATGGATACCGTAATCTTCCTGGCTTTCTCTTTAAGATGCTGTTGCTGTGCATTGTTGAACTTCAACTCAAAGGTGGCTGCTTTTCAGTCCAGGGCAGGGCTGGATTAACACATAGGCAAACTAGGCACATGCCTAGGGCCCTAAGGGAGGAAGGGGCCTAGCTGTGCTTATTTTACATATTATAATTATTGAGTGAAAAAAGTAATATACATATACAGTATTAAATAGGGGGACACTAATTTGTTTGCCTAGGAACCACTAAAGGGTTAATCTGGCCCTGGTCCTGGGGAAATTATTCTTGCATTTGTGTATGTGTAAAACACCGAGAACTACACTGCTAAAAGTGAAGCATTCAGAAGCTAGTAAATGCTAGAAATTGAAGTCCTCAGAAATGTATATGATCACATTGCATCATATATCATAATGCATATATACAAAAGGGAAAAATTAAAGTTTCATGAATAACTATAATGCTGGCATTTCCTCACTTTACTTACTTAAATTTTACATTTTTAAGTGGTTTTATGTATGCATGTAGATACACACACATGCATGCACACATTGCACATAGTGTATGTTATATAGAACACATAAAACAAATTAACACATTACCTTATATAAACACTGTGTTAATTTGAATTTGGGATTGCTGCTATGTATGCGCATTAAGGAAAACAACAGTTAAAATCCGTAAACCAGCTGTTCCTAAATCTGGAGCTCACAATCTCAAGTGGGATCATGGCACTCAACAATAGGCACTTGACAAGGCTCACAGAAAATCAGCTGTGGAAGTGGGGCTTGCAGTGGAGGTTCAGTCATGAGCCCAGAAGGAGATCAACAGAGGAAGAATCTGGGAAAATGCTGCCATAACTGCTTAAAACAGGAGTCAGCAACCCCTGATGTGTGCTAGAGCATGGTGCATTAAGTCATTTTGCTTGGCATACCACAGCCAGCCTGGGCCCTGGGTAGGCCCCTGTCACTGCCCAGTCAAGGTTACAGGGTTTTTTGGCACTCTGCTCAAAAACATTGCCGACCCTTGGCTTAAAAGTAAGGAAGGGAACAGTTATGGGTAAGTAGGTAGATCTGAAGATGCAGTCACAATCCAGAAAGTCTCCTAAGTTAACTGTACATGTGTGAAATAAAGCACTCTATTTCAAAAGTTCCCATATATCCCTGCCCAACTTAAAAAACACTGGTGAGACATCCTATTATACTCAAATCACCTACCATCACACAACACTACCCATCTGTCATGAGCCCCACCACAGGCCCCTTATCCATCCCTCATGTACAAAGCAGAGATTCAACTCTCTCCAGTCCTAGCAGCACTTTGTAATCAAAATGCTGCAATACATCATGCCGTCAAGGCATATCCTTTGAGCCCTTGGCTTATGAAGCCAAGATTTTCAAACCTAAACTATCTAGAGTTAAGTACCTATTAGGCACTAATTTAAAGTGGTCTGGCTTTCAGAGGTGCTGAGATATGCCTATCTTCCTCCTCCTACTCCACCTCATGCTACAGGTATAAGATGAGGTCATAAAGGAGCCACTAGATCAGCCCCAGGTTATGCCTGTATGGGTGAAATTGCCTGGACACTGGTTGTGACCAGGGTCAAATGTCCTCAGTGGAGTTACCGCTTGATTTACACAAGTGTAAATGAGAAGATAACCTATTTCACAACTTGAAATTTATTTTACTTCAAATAGCTCCTAAGTGTATCAGCTGCCTTCAGGCATTTGATTGTAGGGATTCCACTCTTACATCCAGGTGACTGCATTGTACACGACATGTTTGCTTCTCTTAAGAACTTTGGAAGCTTTCTTGCTTGACTTCTTGTGTTGAGGTTGAGGCCAATTATCTCTGTGGCTGCAACTGATGGCTTCTAGAACTGACAGGGAATTAGTCAGGTTTATCTCCTGCAGGTACAATTTGCTAATACAGGTTGTATAGCAAATGGACCACAAATACAGTGATTAGGCAGCGCTGGAACTGCATCTGCAAGGGATGATTTGAAATTACCCCTTGTTGGCAAGGTTACAGGTTACAGCCTTGATGCTGGTAAAGGCAGGACTCCTGTCTCTCTGTCTTTTCACATTTTCTTTCTGATTCAGACTCTGGCCTCCTTGATTTTTATCTAAACCTTGCTCTTCTGAGAAGCCCTGAGAAGAGTACAGTTCTATTTCTACATCTTACTTTACCCTATAAAGGAGATCACCTTCTGATCTCCAAAAGGGTGTTCTGAATTCCAGTCCTTAGGAACATCCCAGTGACTTCAGTGAGAGAGAGGTCTCCCTGATATTATTTAGCTGTGTGAGCAATGCTTGCATTCATCTGCCAAAGGGGTACGGCCCATGGATTTCTCTTTGAGATTTACATATGGGCAAGAAGGAGCGTAGCTCTGCTGAATTCTGGCAGGGCAGTGAGATCTGCATGTTAGTGCTGGTCCTCCCTTCCAAACTGTCCCTCCTGTTTAACTCTAGGCACAGCTGCCAGCACATATTATGAGCCCGCTCATTTCCTGGTTGTTATACATGTACTTGGCATGTGTCAGGTTGGAATCCTAGTTCTTTTTGACTAAGCACAAGGATGAATCACAAAAGTCTTGATTTTATCCACTGAGATGTTGAAGGTCACTGTCCTCCTCTGAACTGATCCATCACTCCAATAGCTTTTTGTTTAGTATAATAAAAGATCTGCGTCTTTCTAACATGACTGCCCCCGAGTGCTTTGGACCTAGCTTGGGAAACTCCACAAGGTGCTGCATAGTGTTGCATAGGTGTATGCTGAGTGAGAAGAACCTTCACTTTCCACCCTGCGCCTGTCTTCTCTATGTAGGTGGTGAGTTCTTTGCTGCAGAGGTGGCCTCTCCATATGTGTTTGTACAGCCCCTAGCATCTTAGGGTCCTAGTTTAGGTTGACGTCTGTGGTTCCAACTGCAGTACAAATAATAATAAATAGGGTACGGAGTTCAACTTCTGGTTCTTGACATGATTAATCAGAGTTATAGGTTTCAAGACCAGAAGAGACTATAATCATCCAGCCTGAACTTCTGCATAACAAAGTTGACAGGACCTCATCCAGCAATTCCTGCAGCATGTACATTTTGTCCCACCTCAATTACCCCTGATGTTGCCAGAGAAGCTGTCCTATTTTCCTTCCAAAACTTATGTATAAAGTGCTGATACAAGATAGCTGACTATGGAGATCTGCATTTCACTGGTGGATGAGCAACCCTTATACAAGCTGCAAACTGCTTTGGGATTCTTCCATGAGAAATGAACTATATAAATGTGAGTTACTGCTATTTGTCTCCCTGCGAACCCTGGTTTA